AAATTAAAGGGAAATGTGTAAGGTAATGGAGGTAAATTAAAGGGAAATATACCAGGAAATGGAGGGAAACTAAAGGGAGATGTGTAAGCAAATGAAGGGAAGTTAATGGGAAATGCATCACGAAATGAAGGGAAATTATAATAGGAATAGGAAGTAGTAATATCGGAAAAATATATTTTTTAAATAATTTAATATTGTTTATATTTTAAAAGCTTTGACAAAGACAGGGCGATAAATGCAAGATTTTTGTTTTCAATGTTCGCAAAGAAACGCTTGTTGAGGCGATAGATATACTTCTCCTGATTACGAATAGTATAATCATTACGTGTTTTTTTCATTATTGTTCTTGAAAAACAGGAAAAATTATTTGGTAGTTCACCTACTCTCTGTTAGTGACGCTAGTCTACCTCATGCGCATTCTTCATTAGTATGTTTATGTTGTGTAATTGGGACTGGTTGGTACTCTTGCATCTAGAGACTTATTCACGTATTTGTATTGTATTATTGTATCGACTGCCTTTTCTGTGATGATCTGTGATTAAATCTCCTCTAAACGTTTAATGTACATGAGTCGTTTTATAAACATTCAAACAACGTATTATTTTTAATTTTATTTTTATGTAGATTTCTTAGAAATGGATATTAGACAAACTACAGGATTTTATGATTTATGTATAAACGTATCTCCAAATGAAAAGCACAATTGGTATCCTCTTTTGTTAAAATTACATGAACTTGGTTTTAAGACGGTTGCAATAAATACTAATTTAGATGAAAGTATTCTTGGAGCGGATAGGAAAAAAAAGAAAAGACACGACGGAGAACCATCACAAAGTATTATACCTGAAATAGCCGATATAGAAAATATAAAAAGAGACTTTCATGGAAAACTGAAAGTTTTTAATAGAATTAGCTTCTTGTGTTCTGATCCTGCAAAGACACACGCATTGAATCATTGTGCAACCTTAAAAAAGTATGATTTGTATGCATTTGTTCCAAAAACACAAAATGCTTTACAGTTTGCATGTACCCAGTTAAACACAGACATAATTACTCTGAAATCATCTTCTACAACTTTTAAACTTAATAAAAAGCTATATGAACAAGCTGTCGAAAGGGGGATACATTTTGAAATTCAGTATACAGATTTATTAAACATAGAATCTAGAAAACTTACAATTCATTATTCGCATCTCTTTCACACCTATGGAAAAAGCAAGGTATAGAAGTATTAACATTAAGAAATTGAGCATTTCTTTTTAATGTGATATAGTATTATGAACAAAATAAAAACAATTTATAAATTAGTACCATTCTTACAATTTTGTTTGATAATTTAATGAGACAAATTTTTATTTGAATACTACTTTTATGCAGAATGTAATATTATCCAGTGGTTCCAATGATGTCAATAGCGTTAGAAATCCATACGATCTAATTAATTTATCATGTTTACTTGGATTAAACGAAATTAAAGCAAAAGCATCGATATTATCCCAATGTAAAAAACTTCTTTTGAGAGCAGGTATATACATCTAAATATAAAATATAAGTAAACTCAATATAAATAACAATCACGATAAACTTCATAATTACGAATTCTTGTTATTATTATAAATTTTTACGTACTATAAAGACACATTAATTAGGTGTATTAATTTTTTGTTTGCATTGTTTTTTTTATTTAGAAAGAAGGCGTAGAGGGAAAGCAGCTTTTATTATTGAAGAGGAAACAAAAACAATTGATATTATTGAAGATGACGGAAGATTTACAAAAAGATTAAAATCGTGAATAAAATTTGTGAAAAACAGAAAAGAATGACATAGAGGAAACAAAGTTATAATTTCTCCACTTTATAGTATTGGAATTGTAAATTCGTTAAACACTGTTCACACTTTAGGTTTTGATAATTTTCCTCATAAAAAATTAAGATGTTTTAACAGTTATTATTATATTAAATAATTGCCTTTGTATTAAAAAACAAATAACAAACCGATAAATATTACAATATAGTAATAGATGCTTAAATAATTCTTAATACATCCTTTAGTATTAAAATAATACTTGTTTTTTTAAAAATTCTGAGGAGAATCTCTCTTAAAAGTGATCAAATGTGTTTATTTTTTAGGTTATTTAAAGAAAAGATCATTCTTCAGGCAATTAATTTTTGTTAACTTTTGTATAATGGAAGATATATGAAAGAAAATTTAAAATATCAACAAGCAACAAGAACATGAAAAAAATGAACAATTATTAGAAAAGGTACATTTCCTAATCTTACTATTTTCTTGAGTCGTAATTTCATGTCAAAATTACTTCTTCTTTGGAAAAAGAACAATTGTTTCTGAAGAAAACTTCTCTTCTTCCATATCGATTTCATTTACAAATTGCGGTTGTTATAGTCTTCATCTTATATACAATTATATTCTATAAATCGTTGTCCATTAAAAATTTTTATATTAACACTCTATACTAAAAATATACGATATGCGTACGACATATCTTTTATACGGTGAGTAACTTTCCAGAACACCAAGGGCACGGGTGGAAATTCGGCTCAAACAGACAAGAATCTTTGCAATCCTTTATTTCTGTTAAAATATCCAGAAGTTCTGAGACACTTTTGTTGTCTGTTTGCGATTCTATTGATTCCTTCTTTTTTTCCACGATTACAGAATCGTGGGAATTCACTTCTATAAAAATATATTTTTATGTATTATAAAAATTAATATCGTATCACGTCAAAAGATTACGATTTTAGAAATTAATTCATATGATTTTACAAAACACCTTTTCGAGGTTCAGTTTATACCTGTTTGAATTGGATGTTCCGTACCATTAGAATGAATATATTCGTTTCTAAGGAAATCACTGACCAAAACCTTTAACTTATGCAGTTGTTCTTGTTGTTGATTTCTCTGTTCAACCAACTGTCGAAATACTTGTTCTCTTTCTCTTGCCCTACTTTGAAGAACTGCTCTTTGTTTTTGATATAGTGTTATATATTCTCCTAAAAAAGTAATTTCTTTAATATGAAATTAAAATTAAAGTGCAAAGGAAACCGAGAACATTCATAAAGAGTAAATATTTTAGTACTATTAACTATATTTCCTAAATGCTTGTACCTATTGTTTCCGTTTCACTTTGAAGTTGCAGAACGAGATGTTCGAGTTTTTGTTTCTCTTCTGTAAGTTCTGCGACTCGTTCCATCGTTTGTTTAAATCTCCGTTCAAGTTGTTTCACGGGTTCTGATACTATAACATTACTTTCATCCAATTTTTCTAAATGTTCATTTTCTTCCTGGCCTAATTCATTGTTAGCACTTGATATATTCAAATCGTTTTCAGAAAAAACGCTATTTTGTTCTCTTTCTTTTAATTTTTCTATAAATTCTTGCTTTTCCTTTTCTAATTTCTCTATAGTAATCTGCGACAAAAACAAAATGTAATAAGTTTAAGGTTATATAACGAAAAATTGATGAATTTTTAGACTAAATCAATAATGTTATATACTGATTAAGAATAAATAAATACTTACTAAGGCATTTTGAAGTTCTCGTTGGAAAGTATTGGCATGATGCGATTGCGCCTGATAATGTTGCATTTGATCAGCTATCTGGGCAGTTCGAAGTCTTTCTTTTTCAAGTTCTTCGATAGTAGCCTCTTTTTGTGTCAGTTTTTCTTTTAATTGGTCCAATTCAGTTTCAACATTATTCAATTGAACATTTAGTTTACGTCCGATAGAACGTTCTGCTTGTAGTTGTTCCGTTAGATCCAACTTTGCGTTGCTCTTAAAAATCATGTAAAAGACTTGTATAGTTCATTTAATTTTATTTAGAAGTTTGTAAGTATAGTCGTTAAGTATAAACTTAGACGATCGATTAAACATTTAATTATAAATGCATATACTTACTAGAGTAACAAAAGCATTTTCCATGTCGGTCAACTGTTCTTTTAATTGTCGATTTTGATGAACTGCTCTGGATGCTCCTAGTTGTTCACTTTCAAGGGCGCTGGCTAATTTTGTCACTTCAGCTTCTTGATTACTGGCTTCACGTAAATCATTTAAATCTTTCGTTAATATTTCGATTTGCGTATCCTAAATATACAAAAGTCATTTGTAATTAAATTAAATACTTAAAACATTTCGTATAATATACATTTAATTTACGATGCTAAATTAATGAAAGAATCATATAGAGCTCACTTTTTCAGAAAGCATAATATGAAGCCGTTCTTGTTCTAGTGTAAGTTCGTCTAC